TTACATCAGGTTTTATCCTTCTCATTTGATATAAAAGTTAGGTAAACTGCAAAATCTTCCACTAAAAACATTTTTTCGTTCTGTGCGAACGAACGAAGTTAGGGACGAACGAAGTTACGAACGAACGAACGAACCTAACTCGGTGTATGACCCTCCTTTCAGTAGAGGGAATAAACTTATCTCTAAGTCATGCTGCAACAAGTAAAGCGTTTGTTTCATCGGCAAATGATATTGGCTTATATATTGGTAAAACACTTTCCGGTGAACAAAAGTATCAACTAATAACACATCATTTTCAACCAGATAAAACATTTGTTTGGCCTTACAAAGAACGTACAACAGTAATAAATGGAAAAACACTTATAGAAAAAAGATATTTGAAACAAAATCATTTGGATGAATTTAAATGGCTCAGATATTCATCATCTCAAAAAGGCTTATATTGTATTGCCTATGCCATTTTCACAACGTCAACGACAAGAATTTCTTCATATGGAAGATTAGTTGAAAAACCACTAGATGATTACAAATATCTTCTTGGAAATACTGGAGACTTATCTCTTCATCAAAAAAAAAATTATCATTCAGATTCCATAGCAAAAATGGAAAACTTCTTGTATATTTATTCTAAAAAACCAGAAATGTCTGTTAGAGTAAGTATGCAAAAGAGGATTGGAAAAGAATACATATTGTTCACAATACAGAAAAAAAAATTGAACACTTGTTTAACAATAGGATAAAGAAGTCTTTCGAGATTTTGATTTTTTGCTTTTTTTTACTGATACGATCTTTTCTAATTCGAACTGAACGAAAGACGAAAAGCTGAAAGACAGGAGACGATTTTCTCCATGATTTATCTGTTTTCATATCTTGTTGTATTTCTTTTTACATATTTTAGTTATTGATCGATAAACGTTCACAAAATGAAATAGCAGAAAATCGTGCACGACTGAAACCAATTATCGAAACAATTTTATTATGTGGTAAACAAAATTTTCCTCTTCGTGGACATCGTGATGACGGTGGTCTGTCTACAGAAAATGAAGGACTTTTAGCAGATGAAGGAAACTTTCGTGCTTTATTACAATATCGTATTGAAAGTGGTGATGTTGAACTTAAACAGCATATAGAAACATGTCGAAAAAATGCCACATATATTTCCAAAACAATACAAAATGAATTGATCTCGATTATTGGTAATTTAATTTTAAAAGAAATTATTCAAGAAGTTAAAGCAGCACGATTTTTTACAATATTATTAGATGAAACAGGTAAATAAGTTGTTATAAAACTTGCTTCATCTGTTATATTCGGTTTTCTTTGTTTTTTTTTGTTCTAGCTGATGTAGCTAACATTGAACAAGCCAGTCTTTGCATTAGATACGTTTTAAATGATCAAATCCATGAAAAATTCTTAATGTTTATTCCAGTTAAAGATCGATCTGGCGCTGGTCTAGCGAATTTAATTATTAAATCTGTCCTAGGCTTAGGTAAATAATTAAGTTTTTCTGACAAAAATTTATCGGATTATTTCTTTGTTTACAGGATTGGATCTGACTAATTGTATTGGACAAGGTTATGATGGTTGTTCTAGTATGGCAGGTTAGGGCACTTTTTCCATTTTTTGCTACTATAGCGAATACTTCCTAATCGTGTATTTTCTTCTATTCTTTTCAGGATATATAAAAGGTTGTCAAGCATTGATTCGAGAAAAATATCCTCATATACTTTACGTGCATTGCGCCTCTCATTCTTTCAACTTAGCATTAAGTGATAGTTGTGATATGCGTTCAATACAAAATATGATTGGTACAATAAAAGAAGTTTACAACTTCATTCGATCATCGTCAGTTCGTAGTCAACTATTTGTAGAATTAGCACGTCCATCAAATGAGACAAGAAGTATAGCTGTGAATAACATCCTTAAATCATCATCAAATCAATCATCAGAAGATAAAACAACTGAAGTTACATTTAAAAAAGTGAAATTAGCCAATGTCTGCCCAACAAGATGGGTTGAACGTCATGTTGCTGTTGAAACATTTAATACTTTATATCCTGTTGTTGTTGAATTATTAATTGATTTAATGCAAAGCAAAGATAGAGAATGTTCAACCAAATCCAATCTGTTTTATAAAGCAATTTCATCGTCAGAGTTTTTATGCTCATTAACAATATTAAATAAATTATTGTCTTTCACAATTAATATATCGCGTAAGGATAGAAACTCTCTTCTTTTTTTTTCTATATTACACGGTATGATGGAAAAAGGCCCAAAGGAAAAATATCGAAAGGAAAAATGTCGAAAATAGAGGCGCCACAAAACATGTAAGTCATGCGGTAACATGTGGAAAGTGGCGCCTCTACTTTCGACATTTTTCCTTTCGATATTTTTCCTTTCGGTCTTTTTCCATCCATTCATATTACACTGCGTGTCAATGAATTTGTAGGAAGTCTACAGAATAGTCAAATTGATCTTATGACTTGTATTTCCAATATTGAAGATATTTTACAAGTACTTTAGACGATAAGAAATGAACCTGATGCAGAGTACAAGTTTTTATTCGAAGAAGCACAAGATTTGGCTAAACATACAGAAAGTACAATTGAAATGCCAAGAATCATCCAACGACAAGTATGAAAATTAAAATTAGTTTACTATATTCTCATTAATTCATTCTTTTTTTCGTTTATATAGATAAATAGAAATAATATTCCTGCTTCATCTACATATGAATATTTTAAATTAAATATTTTTATTCCTGTACTTGATCATTTTTTAATGGCTATTAAAGATAGATTTACTGAACATGTCCAACAAGCAGCACGTATTTCATCCATCATTCCACAGTATATTGCTGATAAAACGTATGATGATTTAGCTCCAGCAATTGAACTTTATCAGAAATTTTTGCCTGGTTCAATTACTGAAATTAAATCGGAATTCTTATTGTGGAAAAAAAGATGGACACAAATTAACACAGAAAATAGTTCCAATGTATTATCACCTAATTCAATGAACAACACCACTTCAGTGACCATGAAGCGCAAAGAACAAGTATCTTTACCAGATACAGCAATCGATGCTTATGTTCAATGTGCTGAAGCATTTTATCCAAATATAAAAGTATTATTGCAAATGTTTTCAACTTTACCAGTAACAACAGCTTCAACAGAGAGAACATTTTCTGTTCTAAAACTGTTGAAAACATATTTACGATCGACCATGTCGCAAACAAGACTTAATGGTCTCGCTATGATGTATATATACAGAAATTTAACTGTAAACGTTGATTCTGTGATTGATGACTTTGCTAAGTCTAATCGTCGTCTACTTCTTTAGTTTTTACTGCTAAACTTTTTCTTTAATAAAGATATGTTCCTTTATAAAAAATTAACACTACCTCGGAAGATATATTTTAGAAACCGCCACCCCCTCACGAAAATCCTGGATCCGCCCCTGCAGGTGTGATGTAACGATTTTCAGATCTAGCAAAAGATTAAGCGATTACATATTTTAGATCCGGATTTTTTACATCTGTAGCAGCAATATGATTCAGTCCTCCTATTGTTGTTGCAATCATTCTTGGACCAGCAAGAAAATGAATTGCTATTTTTGATTTATCTGACCCAGTGCCGCTAAGGAGGAAAATAATATCTTTATTTTTTACCAATTCTGCTACATCGTCAATTTTTTCTATCAATCGAAATAAGTCATGGATGTTTACTGAACTAATTTCTTTCAAAATTTTCTTAATAAACTTACACAATTCTCCCAATGTTTTTTTATATGTATCGAGAGTTCTTGGGTTGAAATTTGAATCGCTGAAGATGATGATTCTTCTAATTTTCTCCGATTTTTCAAATTTTCAAATTCTCTATCTATTTCTACTTGATCAGGTCGTACAATACTCGGATCTAGAGCAATGCTGTTATCGATTAATCGAAGATAAACATAATACAATAAACTGATTACGGATCACTCTAAACACGATGACATTGAGCAAAAATCTCGGTACATATTACATAGACTTTCATTTGTAATTGCAAATTCTTCCTGATTGAAACCGTCAATTACATTCTCATTTAAATGAATATGATAAACGAGTCCCTGCGGCATTTCAGATTCAAAGTGTGTAAGAGATGACTTCATAGCATGGATTTTATCGACTACCAATTAATGAATGTCTAACTTCGACAGAGAATTTTTTAATGGTATTTTTAATGTTTGAAAATCATCACTTAGTTCAGGATTTTCGGGCTCTTTAATTGTATTCATCATTAATTGAACTTCTTCTATTCTTCTAATTTTGTTACAGATTTTTCTCGTTTCCGCGTATTGTCATACTTTCCTTGTTTCGTTAAATTTTCTATTTGCTTTTTCTTGTCCTCGATCCGAATTTCTAATTCGTTCTCACTACTGATATCAAGTTCGTCGAAACGATTTTGTAACTGTTTTTCAATCCTTCGTACGATTTAGGTATTGATGAAGTCTCTTTTTTGTGAATGGAGGCGTTAGTTGTCAAATTACGAACGTTTATTGTAGTTATATGCAACAGAGTGGTTTCTTTTAAAGGTTCTATTTCTATCTTGGATTGGCCACATCTACTCTGTCTTTTGGTCATATCAAATGGTTCTTCTGTTCATGGTGCTTCCACTGGTAATTGCAACGTATGCTGATGGTTCGAATCTTCTATTTTACTTTTCGATTTTTGCACGCAATTAGAGAATTTCGAATAATTATCTTCAGAAAATAATGATTTATCAAAGTTCTGATCTTTCTGCTGGCAATTGATTGGCTGAGTTCGTGCATTATTCGTTCTTGAAGATTCATCTGTTGTAAATCCCCGTTTTCTGACTACTGCTGGTAAATTTTTAATAGTTAAAAGTACACTAACGTAAGATTTCGATTATCAACATCGTCATAAGTTCTATGTTGAAGAAAATGACGAACTGAAAATTTGCATGTATTACGAGAGAAAGCAGTAGGCAAGAGAAGAGCATATTTTAAGAGTATTGAAATCTCTCAAAATCGTTGAATTAACTGTTTGCCCTTGAAAATCGAAAGACTATAGATTTCAATTAGTGGATAGATGTGTGATCTTTTCTGAAGGTATATTATATACAGATTTCTCTCTTACTATTTCACATACACATCTCACTTTTATTTTTCAAAATACAATATCAACACAAAAAAAAGAATATGATCAAAATGAAAATTTTCTTGTTTTTATTCATCGATCCATAGTTGAATATTTGATGTTTCTTGTCTATCTCGACTAATAGAATATGTCGATGGCAAATATTTTTGTAACTATTCGACTAATGCATCATTTATTGAGAATATATTCATATCCTTCCATTGATCATCATTACATCGAATAATTAATACTTGAAGATTTGACATAGATTTAATTAAATCAAAAATATCACTTTGATTTTCTATGCCAGTAAACAGAATTTCACATTGACGAGGAAGTGAAGATTTTTCGAAAGCATTACATTGTGTTCTAGAGAATAAATCGATTTGGGACCAAAACTCCTCTGTTAAAACATAATCGACGAATAGATGCATTGTTAATTTGAAATAATGTTGACAAAAAATGGAGAAAAAACATTGACACTCAATGCGTACAGAGTTGGGAATCGATCCAGTAATAATGATAATTGACAATGAATAGAATCTTTATCTTTTATTGTGATATCAAGTGAAATCAAATGTATGAATGATGAAGTAATTCATAAGAAGTTCTCATCAAACGAAAAACTGATTTCAAAATGACGAACATTTGGAAACCTTAGATGATATGGAATTAACCCTTGATTGCTTGAGTTTTTCGGATAATCGTGTTTAGAAAGACATATAGGATTATTTATCCAATAGTCTTTTTCATTTGAACAAGTCGATATGAAACGATATGCATTATAGAAATGGAATCTCTCAAAAGCGTAAGATAAAGTGTAAAGAAAGGCTTGATTATAAGATGATGGATTCCATTGACGTTGAACAAACCATTGATGTTCTTTGAGCCAAAATCTAGTTCAAAATGTTTGAAGTAATTCTTCCGCTTGGTTTTCTCTATTATTGTCATAAGGAAATTGAAAATACATTCTTAATCAAAATGTTTGAATTTTAGGTAAATGCTTTCTGATAATTTCTTCCCATTCATATCCATTCAAATAGATCGGACATATATCGAACATGAAACACGACAAATTAGGTATATTTTCAAAGAGATTTATCACCGAATTTCTCGATCCAACGAAAGAGATATTTAATCAAATAATCGATGGAATTATCGTTGGGAATTGTTCGTTTTCTGATTTACATACAATGAATATCGAAAGTTGTCGACGATTAGGTGTATCTTGAGATAGATCATATAGATCTTTTAAAGTATTTTCAAAATTATCCTCGATATTCCGATGAAAACTTTGAGAACCGCTATTTTAGGAAATGATAGATCACATATGCATGTATCTACGCAAACGGTTAGATTCTGGAAAAGAAAATTCGCGCATATGTCTGCCTGGCTCCCCACTGTGCCCCCCCCCCCCCCTTCATTAGAGTGTAGATCAAGATAGTCTGCCTTCACCCTCAACTGTTGTGATACGCTGAGAGTGTGGATCAACATCTTGCCTTCACCAGCAGCTATTGAAATGCTCTTCAAGTGTGGATCAATACCCAGGTGAAAGCCGTTGGGTCGGATCCTGTCGGACGGATTTCAAATCCGTTTGAAGAGGACGAACGGATTTTTTCCGACGTAATCCGATCCGGATTCCTTTGCACAGGATTCCGACGCAAACTGGAGTGGATCCGATCGGTTTTTAACGGAAGACGTCGGTTTTGGGAGCGATCCGGTACAGATTCGATATTTTCCGGTCGGATCCACAGGTCGGATACGA